TTGTCCTTAAATCACAATTTTTAACATTTTGTATAAACAAAAAATTAAAAAAATATAAATGCAAATGTCAAATAATACATATATTATTTGTAAAACATAATTATACACTATTTATTGATAAAATATGTATTTGCACATACACATACACATATATACACATATACATATATGCAAATTTATGTATGTATATAAATATATATTTATTTAAATATATAGAATGCTGATATGAAATGGTCTAATCCGTTCAACTAGGATGGTTGAACTAGTGACTGCATCCTAGATGCAAAAAGCAGGTTGGTCTCCGCATTGGATTTAACTAATGGTTGGTTAGTTTCGAGTGACCAACTCTCCATCCAAACTAAATCAATTTGACAAGTCAAACAATCTGCAATTGAACTGAACCGCCTAGTGAACACTCCTAATTTTAGCTAAATCAATAGTCTAATCTCTAACAAATAACAATAATTTAATTTCTAATAATTATTGAAAATTTATAGCAAAATTAAAATAAATAACTAATAAAGCTTCAATACCTCTAAGTTATTATAATCTACTTTCACTATCTCAATAATATTTACATTTTTCAATTATTTATATTTTATATTCTTATTATCAAATACTATTAATTCTATTATCATTAATTTTGTGTCTTTCATAAATTTTTAAAGTTATTACATAAATTTATTATTTAATCTACTTTTTGTTTCTTAAATAATGTTTAAAATAAGATTTATATTAAAGTCTTTAATATTTAAAGCATTTAAAAATTAGTTATTTATAATATCATTTAGCTATTTTTTAAATTATTTATATTTTATATTCTTCTTATTAAATATTGCTAAATCTATTATTACATAATTTTGTTATTATGAAATATTGTTAATTAATTATTTAAATAAATAAATAAATATTTATTTATTTATTTAAATAAATAATTAATTAATTAATTAATTAATTATTTTATATACTTATTATAATCCCGTCTAATTAAGTTGGTATTTGCACTATGTGATTTTAGATTTCCCTAGGCTTGTTGATGCAACACTAGTACTACGAGAATACTCATCAGCTTGTCATGGAATTTGATACCAACATTTATGATGAGGACACTTAGACATCATGAAACATGGATGGAGTATCTGTGAATGTTTTAAAAACTGACCTGGAATTGGAACCATTCTGACCACCAATTTTCAAGTTGATGGTTTGAACGAATGACCCATTTTAACAAAAAATTAAAAAAATAATTAAAATAAAAAACAGTAAAAAACCATTGAATAGGTTGGAATAGGTCGACAGTTTGACTACCTGGGTTAACGAATTATTAACCAAATCAACGGTTTTTTGTCCAAGATTGAATTTGGGGTAAAACATAACTGATTGCCTACACAGTTCCAGGCAAAGCGGTCCAATTATTCAAGTCAATGGCGGTTTGCAAACATTGATCTGATCTCCTTCATGCATTGCAGAATCCATGGGGTTTTGGTTTGAACCCATCTTTGTAAAGCTGTTTAGACCCTTGATAAAGTTTCAAGTGAGTTACCATTTAATACATATTTTTCATTTTTCAAGTGAGTTAAATTTGTAGACATAACACTACAATTGCAAGCTCTATTTATAGGTTGTCATTTTATGGAGTAAAACGTTCCTTCTCTCCTTGATACTACCATTGTTCATCTTATCAAGAAAAAAGATAGCCTCAATAACAGATTTTCTAAATAAGAAAATAATCCAAAAATACGTTCAATATAGGGATACGACTTAAATGGTAGAGTGCTCACTTCGCATGTGAGAGGTATAGGGTTTGGTCCCCTATATCTCCAACTGAAACATTGTAAAATAAACGTTTCATCATATGGGCAATTTTTATTTTTACAAATACACCCTTACTTTAATACCTATTTTTAAACAATATAGTTCTTAAAACAGAAATACTAGAAAATGCTTTTTAAAATTTTGATATAAAGAAAGTATATTTATCATGTTTCATAGATAACATAACATCTTTACCACAATTTATTTTTGTTTTAAGAAACTATTAATATTTGATGAACACAAAAGTATCAATTCGTTTTTTTTAACCAAATGGCTTTTACCTCTCAAAACAAAAGTATAGTTCAAGAACATATTTTTGTTTTTTTGCTGATGTGGCAATTGTAAAAATAAATGAAAAAAAAACATTGATATTGTAGAGCCCCTTTAATATATATATATATTAAAAGAAGGATTTTAGGCTACAGCCCCCACCATCCAGATACATGGTTTTTTCAAATTTAGACACATGACATTTTCTTAGAAATTGCTATTAAAGCCCACAACCCATTATCATCATTTAGACAAGTGACCTTCTCATATCAATTTTTGAGAAATTCCTACTAAAACCCACAATCCACACTACCAGGCTACAGCTCCCCACCATTCAAACACATGGCCCTTCTCATTTTTCAAGAAAGCTAGACACGTGACACTTTCTGAAAAGTTGCTACTAAATCCCACAACCCACTACCATCATTTTCAATTCATCCCTAAAAAAATGCAGAAAATGCAAAAGTGGTTGTTTACATTCTATCAATCTCACTTAATCATTAACCCTCTATCTATCATAACAAAAGAAAATTATCCATATTCTAATAATTATTGAAAAGTTATTTTTTGAAATAAATATTTTTTTAATTTAATAATTATTTAAAATATTAATAAATATAAATTTAACAGTACCGATTCCATTAATATAAATTTAACATTACTGATTCCGGTATTTAGTACGGGGTCACACTAGTTACGTATTAAACGTGTAGCTGTTAATTGTAACAATGGGTCTAACGTCCCAAAGTTCAAATTAACAATTGGGTTCGCTTTTCCATTTTGGGTTTATTATTACAAACCCGATTGGTTCTAGTTTGGGATTGTTGGATTGGATTTGGACTTATATGATTCCTTTAATTTTGCTTCAAGTTTACTTAAGAAAGCTCATCCATTATATGGGTACTGAATGGGGGAGGAAGATGTGGCAAAAAATCCAAGGTGAATACATTTCCAATTTCTAACCCCTGCACAATTCCCATGAGCTGATTGTAATTAAGTTGGTCTGCCATCAAGAATTCCAAGTGTGTCTTCCAAAAGAGGTCAAATGGAGATGAGTTTTCTTACCAAGCAATGCTTTAATTGAAGTTTGCCTAAGGCCTTGGACCTTGGTATGGGCAAATGGGGATAAAGTGTATAGTAACGGCCAACCATTTCTTTGCAGAGCTACCAGGTAAGACTTAAACTAGTATGGGTTTTCTTCTCACAGCTCTCTCAACAAAGTCGTAGAAGAATAATGGAGTGTCATCTTTTTTTCTCTATCAATGGTTCTCTATCGCCATAAATAGGGACCTGTTTTCTAGCCTTTATTTATGCTTGTTGTATGGATCAAATCATTGTTTTCAAAATCGGATCGGACTGTACAGTCGGGTCGGAAAAACTGGGAACTGGTCAGGTGATTGGTTTCATTTTCCCCCAAACTAGATTTTCTTAAAAAAACATTGTTTTGGTTAGTAAACCGTTGAACCATGCGGTTAACAATTTGAACGGTTTTGGCCGTTTTTTAATTTTTTGTTAGAACGGACCAACCGGATCCCTGATTGATTTGGTCTCAGAATTGATACCAGGTGACAATTTGAAGAAATCAATTGCCCGGGGGGTGGTTTTATATTAACACCCCTATTGTCTTGGGTGAGATTTCATGTTCATGACGATTTTACCCACACCTATCCACATAACATCGCAGCCATATATAGGGAGGGAACAATTCATCCTCTTACATGTTATTATACACCGGGAGATTTTCCAATGCAAGGAGGTAGTGTTTTAGGCTTAGTTTGGAAGGAGTACAAATGCAAATATGTAAAGTGCAAAACGTTATATTTTGTATGTATTTGCAATGTACATATTTGCATCTGTACTCTTTCCAAATTGATCAGCCTTAGGGTATTGTGTGGGTAGTGTTCTTGTGGGTAGGAGATCCGTAGTCCCCTGGGTCAATAAAATCCCTTATCTGAATAAAGGGCAAAAATGGATTAAAAAAATATAGCACGTATAAAATGGAATATGAAGGTTGACTAATAGAGATATTTTGGTGATGGGATCTGCTCCTCACAAATGGGTGCCTCACATGCACATCCACCGTGCATTGGAAACATCTCTCGTGAATATTTACTAATAAGTACGGGAGATGTTCCCAATGCATGATAGGATGTGCGTGTGAGGCGCCAATGAGGTGCCAGTTGTGAGGAGCAGATCCGGTCTCGATACTTTGTGCCCAATGATGTCGATCTATAATGGTAATAGATCTTTAAAAGTCAAAGGGGTGGTTTAAATATTTGTCATATACCATAGGGGAGGTTTACGCAATTTTATCAAAAGAATTAAAAAAAGGCAAAAGAGGGATAGAGAAATGGGATAATAGCATATAAGGGCAACTTTTGGGGTTTAATATCAATAAAAATAATTTTTTAAAAAAATTCAAAAATGGGTTAACTTTTTAAAAATAATATCAATAAAGGGCAAAGATACTGTTCATCATCTTCTTTGTGCCATTTGTTCACCAGCGCTATCGTTCGCCGCCGCCCGCCGCCACCTTCGCCCATCTCAACCTCTGCCTCTGGCAACGTTGTTGGAGGTGGCCAAAGGCAGAGGTGGCGACGGTGGCACTGGTGGTCATTTCTCTGCCCAACGCCGCTACCTCCACCATCGCCTCTTGCAATGTTGTCGGAGGTGGGTGGAGACATAGGTGGCGGCGACGGGCAACAGTGGATAGAGGTGGTGGGTGGTGACGTGTGGTGTCGATGAACAAATGGCAAGAAGAAGATGATTAACAGTGTTTTTGCCCTTTATTGATATTATTTTTAAAATGTTAAACCATTTTTGAAATTTTTTAAAAAATATTACTTTTATTGATATTAAACCCCAAAAGTTGTCCTTGTATGCAATCCGTAGAAAAATCCTTGGGTGAAAAAGACAAAAGAGGGCGAATCGAGAGACGAATCAGGACTCAGGACTCAGGAGGGAGTTTGAAGGAAAAAGAGACAAACCCTGGGAAAGTATAAGAGGGAAGAAGGAAAGAGGACCCACTTACAGCTTCGGCGGAGGGCTCCCAAAGTGCCGACTGCCAACTGCATCTCTCTTCCAGTGCAGCATGCCCATCATCGACGTTCCCTTATTGGGTTGCAAGGAACCTTGAAAGTTGAAACCACTACTCTCATAAACCAGCAGGCAACGAGGTCATCAGCCTCCTGGATGCTAATGATCGACACCAATCGTGACAACCATCTGAGCCAACGTTGGTAACATATCCATGTATCGCTAACCCAGGTTTCGATTCATTATTTGATGTTCTTCGTTTTTTCATTTTCATTTCTTTTTATTTTCTATAGCTGTTTTTTGGCATGAACTCGACAAGTGTAGGTTAGCCCCTGTTTAATCTTGATTTTATTGTAATCAATGACAATGGATTGCACCCTGTTTGGCCCTAATTCGGTTCTGTCAATCGCATGTTGGTAGTGGTAGATTACCCCTATTTGGCCTTGATTTGATTTTGTTAATGACATGGCAACAGCAGTGAGCTGGGTTCGGTTTAATCCGAACGTAGCTTCATTAGTGAACTGCATGAATAAAGCTTCCTCTGGTTTTATTGGACTTCTTGACTTGAGGAGATGGATTTTGGTCTATCTTGAGTTCAATTTGATGTCTTATTTTGGCTTATTAATGTTACGAGCATGTTTCAAGTTTAGCAGAGAATAGTCTACAGTTTAATCTTGGTTCAGTAGTGCTGGTTACCTTGTCTCTTTGCGTATGATCTTCTTATATGATGGCTTGTTTTTGTTGAAGTGCTTTGATTTGCTTGAGAAGGCTTCTTGGTGGTGGTAGCCTCTAGCTATGCAGGACTTGCCAAATTTTCTCAAATAAGGTGGCGGTGATCCAAGAAGAAAAAGGGCAAGGCTCTACTCTGTACCCTTGCGTTCTCAAGGACTCTCATACTCAAATGGGAAAGTTAGACGATACCTAGGGTGCTGCTTATGCTTCTCATCCTGCTATTTGGTTTTCATTTTGTGTTATTCTCTGAGATTTCCATGATGTGGTTCATTTGGAACCTAAGATAGAGGGGGGGGGGTAATTCTTTCCTTCTCTCTGATCCAAAACCAACCTAGTCTCTGGTTTGACCCTCTCTTGACTTTCTTTGTAGTCATCAAAACCCTAAATGATTTTGAAATAAAATAGCACGGGGACCCATCACCTCAAATTCTTTAAACTCGATGGGTGGTGACTCTTAGAAGTTAGAATGACACAAGTGAGTTTTCCCATGCTCACGCCTTGGTGACTCCACTGGGGAGTTGCTTGGACTAAGAAGAACCTTGCCTACGTTCAATTTTCAATATGAGTAATGTATGTAGACTGCCACAGTGGGCTTTTCTTGTGCTGTTTTAGGGAATTTCTTTGTGGAGTTGTGATTACTATTTCAGTTTACTGGTTATTGCAGCATGATTAATTTTCTTATCAAACTCACATTCAACATTGGCTTGGTGCTTTCAATTCTGTATTTTGAACTTAGGCCTAACAGTTTTTGAAGTGGATGGTGATGTTTGGCTAGGTGTTCTTAGTAATGTTTGAAAGCATGACTCGTGACTGTAATGCTTTTGGTTATGAAATTGACTTAGCATTTTGTATAGACTTGAATTCAAAAAACTTTTAATCCAAGGAGTCAATTCAGCCTTCTGTTTTAGTGTTTTGTTGGTATTGACTATGATTTTCTAAAATGGATTCAGGATTTGTTTTATTAATTGAACTGCTGATTTTATTTTGCCCCTTTTCTTAAAAGCATGTATTCCAAATTTTGATCAACCGAAGTGTGAGTTGGCATTGTTCAAAGAATGGATTCAAGATCTGTTTTATCAGTTGGAGTGCTGATTTAATTTGCCCTGCATTTTTAAAAGAATGAGTTGGCATTGTTCAAAAACATAGATTCGAGATTTGTTTTTTCAATCAGAGCACTTATTTGATTTTTCCTATCATTTTTAAAAGCATGTAGTCAAAATTGATAATCAATGAAGTGTTGAGTACGCATTGTCCAAAAGCATGGATTTAAGAGCTATGGCTTGGCATTTTGACTCTTTTGGACACAGGAGTTCTGGGCTGCAAAATTCATTATGACTGCTGATTACCTCTTATGCATGAACAGAGAACTCTTTATTTGCCTACTCAGCTGACTGACCAGTTCATTATGTGTTAGTAATCACTCTGTTTGAGCTCTTGGAATGTATGGACTTAGATCAGGACATGTGGCTCTTTATTTAATTTCCCTCTTCTTACATGACTTGGTTCATACCTATGGGCTGATCCTTTTCATGAATGGTATATAGGAAGGTCTAACATGATGGTGGTTAATAGTACTGACTGATCTCAAGGTGATTCAGCCACATCTTGAGCTAGTTGTGAATCCATGATTAGGAGGGCAGTAGGGGGATTGAGTGTTGTTGTGAAGTTGTTTTTGCAAATTCTTTTTGTCCATTTTGGAAACAATAAAGTCATGGACCCTTGATCGAAATAGTGGGATTGAATGTTGATATCTGTGAATTTTGGGGTGGGGGTGTTTCCGTCTTACCAAAGCATGTCCAGGTCATGATTGAGGATAATTGGGATACAAATGATGTTGGGAAGGTGTTTCTTATATGTTTTATGGTTTCTTTTGGATAATTGGAGCTTGTAAAAAAGAAATCACAGTTTTTCTTTAGGTCATGCTTGATGATGAGCCAGACATGACTTGCTTTGGGTATTGTATGGGTTTTTTGTTTTTGGCTTATTTTTTTGTTCACATGTCGGTTCTTTCCACTTGTTTTGGGGCTTTGTTTTTTGAGGTTTTGGATTTGTTGGGAGGGTTTGGCCTACAAGGGTGTTTTAAGCTTTAGTTTGATGTCCTTTGGGTGTTTTCATTTCATTTGGGTGATTTCTTATCACCTTTCCTTGTATCTTGGTTTTTTCTTGTTTCAATAAAATTTTTATTTATTGTCAAAAAAAAAGCTTGATGATGAGCCAAGACTGTGTGCTTAGAATTGAGTGGTCAGTGGTTTTGTCCTTTGGGATAACGTTTAGACTAAAGAGGGCCATGGCTAGGCCCCCTTGAAAGGAAAGATGGTAAGGTGATTACCGTTGTTTATGATGCCTTTTAAATTTGATGCATGTTTCTAAATGCAAATCCAATCTTGGTTAGTTGACTAGACTACTGACATGTCTATATGCAAGGATCAAAATTTTGCAATATATTGATCCGTAGTGGCTGATACGTATCGTATCAACAGGGTATCAATAAATTATTTTCATGCTTTTTTAAAAGGTTTGTTTTAAATGTTAACAGACATTATTTCCAGCCCCTTTAAATTTTGAAGAAAACTAAAAAAATATAAGGCAGAAGGTTCAGTGTACTGATACACCCCTTGTGCCATTATCAGGGTGTATTGATATTTTGAACCTTGGTGTATGTTCTTATGTTGCATGTTCAGGAATGCAGTTTCCAAATTTCCTTGCATACTGCTATGGCTGTATGTTTGAGCTTACTTTGCTGTGAATTCAAATTGTAGGGTAGCACACTACTTTTGTGGTCATCAGCACAGGTCTCCCATCAATGCATGGTATGAACTCAAATTTGAATGCTACCTTGGCTGCTGGGTTGGCCTCCTTGACCAATCTCTTTTGCTTAACTGCATGTGGTGAACCTGGGTCTTAGGGCCATGTCAATGGTTGTTTTGACCTTCTCTGATTTCCACTTCATATTTTCATGACATGGACCTAAGTGTGTAGATCATTTTGCTTGCTGATGGCCATTGCATGTGTGAACTTGAAGGCCATGTCAGTTACTAAGTTGATCCTTTCTTTGGCTTTCCTTTCATGGTTGAATGGTTTGAACCTAATTTTCAGAGTTATATTTCCATCTGATTTTTTCCCCAATTGCATGTGCAGGCCTCATTTGTCTGTTGGTTTTGTTTTCCCTTTTCATAATTGGTAGATTGTAATGCAAGTTGTGGTGCTATCTCAAGTAATTGGTTTGAGCTTTTGTAAGGTTGTTTTAGTGGATGACTGGGTTTCTTGCTTAATCTTCTTGTCATAGTGCAATATTCAACTTCTAAAGCCTTTCTAGGTTGGACCTGTTGAGGCACCCCTTGCATGACCACATGATAGGAACCTGGTTTTCAAAGAGACTTAGCTAAGGGTTTGTGGCTGCATCCCATGAACTTAATTGTGGGTTCATCTTAGGAGCTCAAGTGTCAAATTTTTGGGGGTTTCCTTGGTACTGTTCATAAGGCCTACTTTTATTTTATTCTTTTTTGATGAGCAACTGTCAAAAAATTTATTAATAATTATGGAAGAAGTATACATGTTGACTTACACCCCAAACAGAGGTTAACCTCAGCTAACACTGATCCTGACAAAAAGATTTCACTAATGCATGATATTTTACATAACTTGGCCCCAAAACTTGCAGTCCCTCAATGCCCCTTGTTTTTCCAAGCCATCTTCTCGTTTTCCCTAATGGTGTATCTATATTTCCATGATATTGTGTTGATTCCACTTAGCCACCCAGTTACTACTCTTGGGTCTCCTTCAATTACTAGGGCACTGATGTTGAGATCTTTTGCCTTCCTTAAGCCATGGAAGATTGCCCACATTTCTGCCTTGATTGAGTCTCCATTCCCTATAGGCACATTGGGAATATCAGAGCAAAGTCCATTCAAACAGACATCAATGCCTTGCATTGGGAATATCTCCCCATGAAATAAAGCACAGAAGTATGGAGATATTCCCGATGAAAGGTTGTAAAGGCTGTTCGAACAGGCCTTGCTCTGACTGAAGCCGATCTCTCCCTATAGGACCCGAGCACATTGCAATGTTGTTTCCTTCTTCATTTTTGAAGACTCCTCTAATGCCTCCCAAACCTGGATCATCCAAGCTACAACCATCAAACTTAAGCTTTATATAGCCTGGTCTAGGAAGGATTCATCTAGCAATAGTGACGTGACTGTTTTGGGTGAAGAATCTGCTACCTGTTTCCATTTTTCAATTTCTAAGGATGTCATCTGCATGAAAGGTGGAAAATATCCAATGTCTTCATCCAATGAGCAACTTTGATGGAGATAGTGTCTATTATATCCTCAACAGTCCTCTCCTCGCTATTGGAAAGACGTGCATTCCTTTCTTCCCATATACGCTAGTGTTTTAAAAACCAATCTAGAAGCTGAACCATTTTTGCCTCTAGGTCGTGGGTCAACCATAGTTTTCAAGGCGCCAAGGTGAGGCTAGGCGACTGGGGGGTGCCTTGTCGCCTAGGCGATGGATTTTTTATGTTAAAAACATAGATCCTAGGGTTGTTCCCTAGGTACCATAACCATGTTTCTTTAATAATTATTCATGATTTTCATAAGAAAAGTATAAATTTCATATTAAAGTATAGAAACTCAACATATTCATGAGAAGAAAAGGAAGAAGGAAAATAAAATTAAAAAAATATAGGGAAGAGGAAAAGAAGAAAATAAAAAATATTGGTAGTCGTAGTAGTAGAAGAAGAATATATGGAAGAGGAAAATGTGCTGATTAGATAAAATTTTAAGTTCTTCCTTACTTATTGGTGCAAAGACCAGCTGCCACCAAACTGTGAGAGAAAGAAAGTCCAAATAGAAAACACAAATTGGTTGGAGATTAGTAAGTGAAATGTGCTTTCTCCATTTGCTTTGCAAAGGAGACAAACATGTGATGAGAGGCACTAGAATGACTTTTTCTTCTGTAGGTTATCACAAGTATTGATTTTGTATGGAAACACCTTCTAACAGAATGCCCTTATTTTGGGTGGTATCGGACCTCTCCAAATGACTCCAACAGGGAAAGACAAGGCAATAGATGAATTGGTGGTTAGGGTTTTGAAGCAGGCACAAGCAAAAGAGCTAGAAGTTGTTGATATCCAAATTCTTGAGTCAGGTTTGTTAGAATCAATGAACAGCTCCTAAGTATCTAAAGGAAGGAAATAATATATGAGGTTTAGCAATCCCTTATTCCCCATCTTAAGTCCAAGTCCTAGGTATCGCATTAGGAGAATTTGAGATGTAATTCGAATCCAAGTGGCAGTGCTTGTTACAAGTTAAGGCATATATAGTGGGGATCACATACTCCATCAAGGGTTAATCCTCCCACCATACATCCTTTGAAAACCGAGTTTTAAAGCTTGAGAGAACGCCATACCTGATAAAGGCCAATAAATGTGGGAGCAGCAAAACAATGGCCTTCCAAGGGGAAGATAAAGAAGCTCTAGCATGAAGACCTGCATCTCAACCATTTAGATTTTGTCCATGAAATGGCAGCATACCAAAGTCTGTCTGAATCAATGAGGAATCTCCAAAGCCATTTACCTAGCAGGGACAGGTTCCTCAAATGAATCTTTCCCACGCCTAATCCTACTTCCTCTTTTTTCCTCCTATACTCCAACTTCCAATTAATTAAGTGGTCCTTCTTTGGGTCTAATTTTATGGATTACATGCTTGTGAATTTAAAAAAATTGGGCCTAGGTGAAACTGATTGTCTTTTTTTTTGTTAGCTGGAGGTTTGGGCCCTGTTCTGGTTGTGAGAGGATTAACTGAACACAATAGCTGTTCAGCAGGCTGTTGGACCAATAATAATGCTCCACACCAGTCATGAAATACCTGGGGCCCACAACCATTCAATCTTTAACTGACGTGGGGTGTTATCATTGGTTCCACAGCCCGCCACACAGCCAAAGAGTTTGGATACTCCAAATTAATTTAGGTCCTATGGAATTCTTCAAAAATGGGCAACAGCATGAATTGGTGCTGCGTTTGAGTTTCTTTTCATCAATGAATGCTGTAGTATTTCATATGGGTCAGATCCTTGCCCTTTTAATTTACCAAATGAAGCATTTTGTTACTTTTATGATCTTATGGAGTGGGCTCTTTTGTGCCTTGGGTAGGTTTAGGATTGATACTTGATAACTTGAAGCACTTAATGTAGGCTGCTAGTGGATGGAATGTTGTTCATATTTTTAGTTCATTTAGGACTCTGGTTTTCTGCTGTGACCTGCAATGAATTTTGGTTTCAGTGCTTTGATTTTTGTATTCTTTTTTCTTTCATAGTGTAGTTATACGTTTGAGATAAGTAGGAATAATTACTTTTTATTGCCAGTATATAGACCTGAATTCTGATTTAGCTCACACATGCTGGTTAGAGGTCTAGGTGATCATATGCTGTATTGCAAAATTTGCAATATTTTGAACTGTTGTCTTAAGTGTTTCTGCCCTAATGGTAGTTAGGAATAAGAATTCTGATTACAAGTATAGGGATCTGATTTTTGATTAGGACTGTGTTGTATGCTGCATGGCAATGTTGAGAGCCAATATGCTTAGTGTTTCAACCCACTTATTTTCATGGCTGCATGAGCTGTTGCTTGGGGAATTCTCGTCAATACTGAATAGAGTCCGTTCAAAATCCAGGAGGCATTTGGGTTTGCTTGATCCCCTCTTTCCTTTCAAAATAGCATTTCAAATACAAGAGGCCATGAGGGGTGCTGTTTTATCAAATTTTTTAAAAGAAATTCATGGGTCTAATCTAAAGCTGAAAATCACTTAAGTTGCTGAATTGGGGAGGGGGGGGGGGTTCTGTTTGATCAATCTCTCTTTCAAATTGCAAGGTGTCAATTTGAAATTCAAGACCATTACCATTGGTGATTTTGGCACTCATTTAAATTTAGAATCATGGTTGATTTGGGAATCTTACTGGTCTCTTGCTTCAATTTTGCTTAACAAAGCCTGTGTATCACATGAGTCCTGACAGAGTTTCTTTTCCTCTTGTCTTTTCCAGAATCCTAACTCAAGTTTTATTTCTCAGGTGCACTTCCAATTTTATTAGCCATTAAGAATAAAACAAAGATTGTGTTTCATCTTGGACTCCTTAATGCGGCTTCACCTCGAATGTTTTGGCTCTATCATGCAGCACTTTTTTGGGTTCTTTCATGTGGAGTCACACAGGTTAGTTGACTTTTGCCCTTCATCAGATTTTCTTTTCCCTGTTTTGGTTTCCTTCTTAAGTCATTAGGCACTCTTTCGTCTTCTTTTTCATCTTGTTCAATTAAATGAACTTTGAAATCAAAACTACTTCAAAGGTAGATTTTTCTATAATTAAACAAAAGGAATATTTTTTCGAGACGTTGGAGACCTGTCAAAGGAGATTCATGGGCTCTGCATTGGTAGTCAATCCATAGTTTTCAAGGCGCCAAGATGAGGCTAGGTGACGGGGTACCTTGTCGCCTAGTCACCTAGGCCATGGATTTTTTAAGTAAAAAAACATATATCCTAAGGTAGTTCCCTAGGTTGCATAACCATATTTCCTTGATAATTATCCATAGCTTTCATAAGAAAGGTATAACCTTCATGTTACAGTATAGAAAATCATCATATTCATGAGATGAAAAAGAAGAAAGAAAAGAAAATTAAAAAAAATAGGGGCTGAACCCCTATTTATGTTATAGGAAAAGAAGAAGTGTTGATTAGACAAAATTTATGAATTCTTCCTTACTGGTTCAGCTTTTGAAGTCTTAGAGGGTTCAATACAGCATTTAGCAATGTTTGTGTTGATTAAACAAAATAAGAAAATAATAAAAATGAATTAGTATATAAAGTTATAAACACACAAAATGAATCTTTTAGTTTAATAATGTCTATTTTATAATTATAATATCAAAAAAATTAAGAATATAGAAGTATTTTATAACACAATGTACAAAACTGTTTGGCGATTAGGCAAGGCGAGCTTCCAAGGGTGCCTTATCGCCTAGGCGTTGCCTTGACAACTATGGGTCAATCCAGTATGGTGCAAGTAGGAGAAACCACTAATTTTCTTTGGGTGATTCTGCCCTGGAAAAAAAATTATATATTTGCAATTGTAAGCATTTTTGTTTTATTATACCATGATGGGTGCTCACTTTACAGATCGCTTTATTTTTTTTATTTTTTTTGAAGAAGGTATAAATCTTATGAAAGAAAAGAGGCCTCAAATCCCAAAACTAAACCAATGCTAGAGTCCAAAACACAAATGAAAGCAGAGCTTAGAGCCCGCAAGCCCAACAAAAAGCCACCCCTGAAGACAACCAAAAAACTGAAACCAACCACACCAAACGAAAAGACCAATACAAAATTTCCACCTCTGAGACATGCGGAACCAAAACTCGAAAATCACACTACAGAAATTTTTTTCCCTGATTGCTTCACCTCTACATGAGTGCTATGAGACCCCCTGTTGCTTGCCTTCACCACCATGTCGTCATAGAAATCCTTAAGCTTCTTTGTCTTCTACGGCCAAGGAGGCAGTCAAGACTATCACAAGAGCAAAAAGAAGCTTTGCTGCTTATGTCTAAGCCCTGCTCTTCCTTCATCTTAAACTGCTTCTTCTGTAACTTCAAACTTTCCTCTTGATCTCTAAGCTCCCTGGACCTAAGCATCTCCCTTACACTATCTTCAACACCCTCAAAAGAAATCCCAACTTTCTTCCCAAAGATGATGGCAGATTCCACCCTCTAATCAATAAAGTTGATGTTGCTGCTTCTGTCTCGGGGGTCAACTTCTGCTCTCCCGCATTTGGGAACCAAAGGCAGAGATCTCCCAAAATTAGGATTAGAACCTTCCTGTAGGTCATTGCAGTCCTCTCTACCCAATTAAGCAGCTACACACAAGGGCCCACCATTGACTGACTATGCCAGATCCAACTCCTTAGAATCATTTTCGATGAGCTTCTCCATTATGAGTACCACATCTTTTAATAAAGGTGATTTTCAACTCGGGATGCTTGAGAATACCTCTAGAGCAGCCCAAAGTTTTTGAATTATGAGATAGAGCCCAGGCCCTTCATAAGCCTTTTTTTCCTTCAAGCCTAGGTTCTAGATCCTTTAATCACAATTGCATATGAACTGATTGCAGTTTGTCATTTTATGATTAAGAGCTTGACGGAGAAGGTTCTTCTCTTTTTGATGCCACCGTTGCTTGTCATACTGGAAAAATGTTGCTTGCCCATCCCAAGTTTAATGACTAAAATACCCTGAAGGACCTGAACATGCTCTTCCTAAGTCCTAAATATCAAGGATACAAACATTTTTTCCTTGTACTCCTTGCGTTAGGGCTGTTCACGGGTTGGGTTGGGTCGGTTTACTGGGGTTTTCCCAACCGACCCGACCTGGTCGGGTTACCTGAGGTGGAAACCGAAACCGACCCACTGATAGGCAAAACCGACCTGGTCGGTTTGAGTTGGGTTGGGTCGGTTTGGGTCGGTTTCGGTTTTGCTCCTGTACAAAAAGGACAGAGA